ACCGTATACGAGCATTGGGTTTGCCGTTAGAGGACGCGTTTCCTAAAACACTGTCTAAACACTACATTTAGTGAGTTTTTTCAATTGCTGCCCTCGTTGCGTTTTTTTTCAACCAATAATCAACCCAACTGAGTATCACAAACCGTACAAGGTATTCGATTCCATTTCTACTAAGTACGGTGCGCATGTACTAGGTCTTCACATGTTCACTCAAAACTGTATTTAAGCCCGGTGGTTGGTTTGCACTAGCCAGTCACCTTTTTAAAAATCCTGATTAAGTGGTTCACATACTACCAATATCCTACTGCAATGCTACATGACTGTTGGATGTACAGCTGTACCTGCATGTGCCTTATTTCACGATGCTGTCAGCTTAACTCCTGCGGATTCCTTTAATATGAGGGTGCAGTTCGTCCACTTTCAGAACCCAGTTTCTTACAAGTTTCTTCTTTATTTGTGCTCCAAATATGATTAGGAATATACCGTACATCTTATTGGGAAACGACACGGTCCTCGCAAATTCGTGCGGATTATACAAGCCACGTTTTCAGACTTGTGACGCGCCTACGGTCGCACGGCTGCCATCCGTTTGCACATCGCACACTTTTGTTTACCCAAAGCGTCTTGGGATGCCAGGCTGATTCATTGTCCATTCATCTGCCTTCGACCGTTCGGCTGTGGCAACTCCGACAGTGACATCGGATTGTTCATTGCCTCTCGACCACCCTAGAGATGTAGCATGATATGGCTCATCATGTTCACCTGTCCTAAAGGAATAGACCGACTTATCTGTTAGCCTGCTGTTTTACGGGGAGCGTGCGCACCTTGTTGTGGCACACAAGTGTGTCTCTAAATCAGTACATCCAGTGTCCTTGCATGTGTGTCTCTGTAAATGCGTGACTTGCGTGCGGCAGGTGACCTACACTTCGTCACTTTGTTTTCGGCAGATTTTGCGCATCTACGATTCGCTGACCATCTTCAGTGCAAACTGAGCGTCAGGTAGTGTTATTACTCGTCCCGTTCTTGTCTATCCACGGCGTAACTCCCTTCCATGTGTTTACCGGATGCGCACAAAATATTTTTTTTGCGCACAAAAATTTTTTTTAGAAACGAACCGATGACGAGGCTTCATGTTGCACCGTTGAAGAACGTACTTGAGGTCTCGTAAACGAATTGGCCATAGCGAATTTTTGCCTGTTTCATCCTAAGTAAGAACGCACCGATTTTTCTTAACTGAGATATCGGTCGATTTTCTCAGCCGACCAAATATGAGATTATATTTTCGACAATTTATTACGTACGAGATGAAGTGAACGCCATTGTTTGGAAACCAGTGAATTTATGGGTACCCTCTCAGCTAGCGTTTTTTAACGTCACCATGAGGTGTTTGAGTGATCCGGAGTGCTGCTTCTTTCCAAACCTAGGAAACGAATACACAAGAACGACGGTCCTTTCATGGGCGAAATTTGTCACCTGTAAACAGTTCGGACCCTAACCAGTATGCACTCTGCTGCAGCCCTGCAAAGTTTACCGATTATGTGCATAAGTCTGTTTCTGTGAATTCGTGAACCAACCTAGCCTCACCACATCATCGTTAATATACAATTTGGATTATGAGTTCGTTGTTTGGTCATTATTAAGACAGTTGTAGGTGGCTGCTGGATTTGTAGAGTTCACTTTGACGTCACCCTCATTTGGACACTCCTCTTCCTGCCGGATGCTGTTATTCTGGCGAGTCCATACCAAAGCGGAGAAGCAGTGGACTTGAGTTTCACCCATTATCAGTGCATTTCTTGGCTCTGCCGGGGTTTGAACTCCGGAATGTGACGCGACAGTGAAATCAGACCGTCTCTTGACCACCCAGAAGTGTAGCATGACGTGGCTTACCTTGTTCACCTGTCCTAAAGGAATAGACCGGCTTATCTGTTAGCCTGATATTTTACCAGGAGCGTGCGCACCCTGTTGTGGCATACAAGTGTGTCTCTAAATCAGTGTATCCTGCATGCGTGTCTCTGTAGGTGTGTGGATTGCGTGCGGCAGGTGAGATGGGGAGAGATGGCTTAGTGGTTGACGCTCGAATTCGCTGACCGGAAGGTCCGTGGTTCGAACCCGACCTCTGCATCTCGACTTCTCTTGTCTAGGTTTGGGCAACCTGGCAGTATCTCAGACCTCGTGCTTCCTTCTGGTGGAATGGCAGTTTGTCACCGGAAGGGTAATACAGCTGAACAATTTTCTAATTTTATTTACATCCGAAACGCGAGGCTGTCATGTTATCACAACTCCACCAGCACACGCTGGACACACCTGAGTTAGCACGTCTGAATGGGCGAACGTATTCACGCTTGAATGTTACGGTTAGTTTGCTCGACAACGCAGTAACTGTCCTGGTTGTGTCAATCAGTTGAGCCAGTCATGTAGCACTACGGACGCTCAAAACCTGCTGAATAACTCTTAATTAGTTGTAGGTGCTTGCGGGATTTGTAGAATTCACGTTCATCACTCTTTTTTTGAACAATCACACCGCTCAAGTGTGAACACGTTGGTCCGTTCAGACGTGACAATTGATGTGCATCCAGTGCGCACGCGTGGAATAGTTGCAATAAGCTCGCCTCGCATTGCAAATGTCCGCCTACACTCCGGCACGGCCAAGGGTACATACTGCTAATGAGCTCTGAGAAAAGCGAGAACTCGAGTCCAATGCTTCTCCCCTTTGATGTGGACTCACCAGAATAACTGGATCAGTACAAGAGAAGGACTATTCAAGTGAGAGTGATTTGATCGTTAATTATTAGGTCCTCCCCGAAGGTCGGTGGCTATTCTGACTTCACGTCTAGTCGATTGATTGTCCGGATAAACCTAATTTTACATCCAAGTGGAATTCACTTGGCGGATGAAAATCCTCAGGCGGCTCACCAACTTTTTCTCCTTTCTAGGGGCTCATTAGTTAGGCGTAGCCCTCGAGTTTCCATCCATGTTCTGCTTGAGCACCAAATTGTACGTTTATTTGCGAAGTAAATTGCTGCTAAGGGGAAGCTCAACCGAAATCCTCGTTTATTGGTGTTCAAGTAGAAAGAAAATTGATGGCGTTCCAGTAGAACATAATGTTAATAGAAACTCGGGGACTGCACCTACCTGATGAACCTCGAGAAGGGCAACCGGTGTCAGGGGAATTTCCGTCACTCTCTTGGATATCTTACCAATTTAAATATAAGACGTCCTTTTTGGAGCGCTCAGTTGAAAAATATCATAAACATATGATTCAGGTTGGGTTAAGTTGAGTCCCCTGTTAATACCAAATTAGTGTGCGAATGAGTGTATTTCGCCAAATCACTTTACTGGCGACATTTTTTCTGGCAGACATTGAAAGCGCTTTGAATCCCCAGCTACTGTATAGAAAGGGGTCCACAGTTATCAACAAGTGCTCTCATTTACAGATCAACTTGGTTTTCACGGGAGACTCAACTGAATCTGTCGTTTATGATATTCTTCAACTGAATGTGCTGCACTCAGACCGCCTCATGTTTCAGTTGGTACGATATTCGAGATATCGAAATCCAATTTGGGTTCAAGTAGAAAATAAATTTGACAGAAACTCGAGGACTATCTGATGAGCCCTAAGAAAGGAGAAACTGGTCGTGGGCTGTCGAATAGTTTTCAGCAACCTTGTGTGGGTTTCACACTTACTTATGTTCTTTTCGAAGACATTGGAGAAGGGTTGTAAGACCCTTGCAGACAAGGAAGGGTATTTCGACCATAAGAATACCTCCACTGGGCTATGGTCTAGTTTTGGGGTGCTGTTTGCGAGCATCATTATGCTGGGGAATAATGGGGTTTTTCTGATATGAAGAGAGTTGAACAGTTTAGTTCAGCGAAGTTCTCTGGGCTGTTATCGTACTTGGTTTTAGGTTGTTCGTTGTAGTTTAGACAAGTAGTTCATTCCACAGTCCGTACCAGTCCGATCGGTGTGCCGCGCGATTTTGTATTCAACAGCAGTTCGTATGATAGCACTTTGAATGAGTAAATGGGTAAATGAGTGAGCCCACTAAAAGTTTTTTGCCCAGCGTCAACTTTTGACTACGCTATTTAAACACAGCTTTTGCGAAATCTGCCTTGGAGAATATTCTGAATTAAAACAGTAATGTAAGGGGTGTCTCACATCGCTTTCCCAATTCAAATTTTATAAGTACCACGGAACCGGTGTAGATCTGTAGTACCTACTGTTCTTTCAAGTCGGAGGAGTGTTGCTTCGAAATATCCGTTTTCCGCGTTATCCTTTTTACCATATGATAAGGTAATGCTAACGATGCATAACGCACTTCATAGTTTGACAACAGTTCCCAGTTCCTTAATTAGCTGGAACCACACCGTACAGTTTATCCGCTGGCCTGAGTTTTAGTGTGAAAATTTGAACACATCACTCGTCCCCGGGTTCGCCAGTTGGCTTGTAGCTCTCTTCTTCGCCTGAATACTTCCAGTGGATAAATACTAACAACATTTTCGGCGTCTCGTAACAAGGTGTACTTCCCCCTCCACCTACGTGGTGCAGCCAGTCTTCACTGACATGATACGTGCCACGATCCTCTAGCCCGTTAACCTCAATTACTCTCCCTCATTTGAAGTCACCAGACACATGTAACACATACCCAACCATCACAAGCCTTCCATTGACTCGTTCGTCCAACAGCCATCGTGATCTTGCACGTTTCGTTTAAAGTAAGCAGTTCTGCTACATTCTTTGTTTCGTCTTGTTCATATTCACTTATCCTGTCATTTTAGCAAGTTCATTATCATTACTGATTGTGTTACTCGGCGGTGGCACATAGTAGAATTTCGTGGACTGCTTCATAGTACTTTGTCATTACTGCATGACCCAGGCGAGTTATTGCTTCGTATATTCGCTGTTGTGCTTCTTGATTTTACGGGAACAGAAACAGTTCGACTCCATGTTTCTTTAACTTTTTCCTTTTCGACGTATTATATTATCAGTCTCTCCGTTTCAGAACCGTGAGTATGTCGCTCACGCTGGAGCACGGTTCCCCATCAAATGGACTGCTCCAGAGGCTGCCAACTATTCCCGGTTCACCAGTAAATCGGATGTTTGGTCTTTTGGTATCCTGTTAACCGAGATGGTCACCTATGGGCGATCTCCCTATCCTGGGATGCACAATGCCGAGGTACTACGCCAAGTCGAAGCTGGATACCGCATGTCGAAGCCTGTCGGTTGTCCCTCTGAGCTGTATGACCTCATGTTAGACTGCTGGGCTGCAGATGAGAACAAACGTCCTTCGTTTGAAAAGATTCAAAGGCGACTCGAGGAGTATTGTGAGGCAGAAAAACCATCTTATCGCGGTACGGTCGGACAACCACATCCGCTGCCGTTTGGCTCGCAGCCTGCTTCGGTACAAAATAGACGACCCTCCTCTCCTAAAGGCTTCCAGAATGGCATCCAAATTTCTGTTTCCCCCTAGTTGTATATCTGTACACACCCCATCAGTGCTCATACCTCTCGCCTATTTCTTTACGCATTTTGGTCTTGATCCAGCGGTTCTTTCATACCGATTGTATTTCACATACCGCACTCTTTCTGACAGTGGCTAAAAGTTTAGTTGTGACCGTTGCCCCTGTCACTCAACCCTTTCCTTTTTCGTCCATATTGTTTGACCACAGCCATTACTATCACACAATCTGCCTTTCGGCGATCGCAGTTTCCTCTGATACCCCTCGAACCTTTCAGTACGATGATTAGCCAGTCCTGATTCAGATCCCTTTGTATGCTTCCTCCGATGGGCATTCCATCGTACATATACCGAGTGTGCTGTTTTTTTACTATGCAACCTCCAAGCGTAATATGATTCAGCAAAATCCGTATCCAATGTACCGGTTTTTTCGACAATGAACTTTTCTAGACCTGTTCACGGACATCACTGCTTGATGGAGCGTTATCTCGTTATCTCCTGTGACTAATTTCCCCTGGTTTTTCTGGTTTGTGTTAAGAATACTTGAAAAAATTTCATGCCCAGTTAGTTAGCCCCTACTGGGCTCAAACTCCAAAAAAGTTACATGCCTGACTGAACGCGGCGCCGATTTCTTGTCGCACTCAAATAGTACCATCCAACAATTAGGAACGGTGGTAGGTTGGTACGCGATCAAGGATAACCGAGTAAAACTGCCAGTCAGCTGCAGATCAACTGTTTTGTTATATCTTGTAGCAAAGCTAATACAAGGACAGAAATACACTGCGAATGGGATAGCAAAAGTGACTGGGACGCTGAAGTGAGTGATGCGGGAAGTTTACTTCTCTGGACTATCAGATGGCCATATTTGGAAGTAGATTCATGTATGTGGACAATCTCATGTTTCTGCAGATAAACACTCACCCGCGAATTGGGATGGAGAGCAAACCTACCTAGTGTGCCTTCAAAAGGGCAAGACTGGAAGTGGGCTGTCAAGGAGTTTTCATGGACCTTCTAACGAGTCCTATCGGCAGGAACTCCGTTCTCTACTACGTTTGACCGGGAATAAGTAGACAACAGAGTTTTGTTCCCAGAATCGACCTTTCTTTACGGTTGCGGTTTTCGGTACGGTCGTAGAGTAGACTATCAGCTGCATCTATGCAAGTCGTCCAGATAATCTGACCATCCAACAGCACGTTATGTGGCTCATGGGCCATTTTCAAGGTTTTTCGGTGCCTAGTTCGGCTGGATGTGAAATGTAATCGCTTAACTCCATTGGACTGAATCCTGAGTTGCTTTACGAAGTTCTGTCAACAAAATCGCATTCTAAGTAAACAAGTAGTATGCCCAGCATCCATCCGCCATGGTGAAACTAAGTCGTGTAAACTCAGATGACTCCCATCCAGGATTCATACATGGAACTCTGAACGAAATTTCTCCAATATTGTATATTATATATATATATATTCACTCCGTTATTTTTGACGACAGATTTCTCTGTGTTTCTAAGTGAGCCGGTGTTAGCTATATCTTGTCGTATATACTTTACTGTGTTTAGCGTGCGGAAATGTAACTCACTACCCAACTTTTTATCGGTTTACATGGTCACTTTGACCACGAAATATATCAGCAAATTCGCGAAGACGCTTAGATCCATAATTTTTGATGTCGGAATTATCCAGTCGTGCAAATGGCAACTGATTGATTCGCATTCAAAAACTTTTCATGATATTCCAGTTGTCGGGAAAATGTACTTGCCAATCCGTATCGACTTTTCAACATGAGAGTGAACTGGAGTCTCTCTCCTGTCGTCTGAAACTAGGAATTCGGTTCAGTAATCTGTGCACACCTTTATCAGGCTACAGCGAAAGGAAATTGTGAACAGTCAAGTGGACTCTGAATGGCATTGGCTTCTGAATTTGTTAAAACGAGTAATAATAATCATACCTCCTATGGAGCTTCGTGCAACCCCACTATCTGTCGAATAATCCGATATTTGCATTTCCCGCTGACTTTGTCCAAAAACGTTCAACTTAGTCACAAAACGTCGCACTAGTTGTTTAACTTCGCTCCTTGATGTTGAACGGCTCCGCACTGTCGTGTGAACCCTTTCTGATTCCGTGACCAGTTAAAGGAGAGCATACGGTTCGAGCCAGTTTTCGGCCATGTTTCGTTTGCAATGTGCGGATCCACTAGCTAATTATGGTAGGTATCACTCTGGTCTAACTTCGGGTGTTTAACAGAATTAGGAATTTCCACTCGTAAGTGTCGGCCGCCCTCTAACACACCCTGCGTTGGTATATTGTGTGTTCGCTCGGCATCATCAAACGTGAAAGACTGTAGTACCGAATTTGTGGACAATCGCATCAACTATTTAAACAGTGCCAGTTCCCAGCTCTTTGTGGAAACAAACTCCATCAACCACTAAAGAGGACAAGTTTTGCCGCAGTCTACTGAGTGAATTGTTCGCCTGGGACAGTTGCTGTACGGTGTTCAACCGAGGAACATTTTCTATTTTGTGCTGTCAGAGGTTTTTCGTTCGACACATACATAGAAAACATACAGACTGGCGATCATTACATCATCAGTTCAAATACACTACTTTCTTTGTTGTTTGCAGACGCTACACTTTGACCGGACGCCGATAAGTCGCATGCCCTTGTCATTGAGAAGCGATCTTAAAGGATGTTGTAGGCAGCTTGTTATGCTGATTTTTATGCTTGCTTCCTCTAGGTTTACCGGCCAAATATCTCATGATAGTTGCGCTACTTGGATATTTTCGGTTTACTACTCCAGTGATTTGTCCGGAAAAGCTGTTACCGTTCTTTTATTCATTGACGATATGATGGGTACAATGAGCAACCGTCGTGTGGGCCACTGTGGCTTGGAGCAGTTCATTGTAGACATTTGAAGCATGTTTGTAGCGCGCCGACCCAAACTCCAGGTGAATTGTTGATAGTTCTAGGTGTGTACGCGTTAAATGTGATGGGCTCGTCATTTTCCTCAGAGTTTCTACTCAGCTATGTGACGCGTTCCGATGAAACGGTATCTGTCAACTAGAATGAGTTTGCTCTTCACGTCTTCACACTGCGGTGCTACTGAAATAAGACTGGGGAATCGGTGCACATTACTAGAGATGTAGATTACAGGAAGGCCATCCAGTTAACTTCGAATGGGATTTCGCTTTTCGCAGCGTTTATTGCAGAATAAGGACGCCTGTCCCATAGCCGTCTTTCCTGGTCGATTACTCCCTTATTCGGTAACATAACTATGGGTACCTACCAGCCCGGTGGCAAAATACCCGTCTCTTTCGCAACTGAAGTTTAACCGAAAATGGAAGGAAGAAACAACCCAATTTGGATATGGCGGATCAACTTCTCTGTTGACCTTTGGATTCTGGAGATTTCGGTTGATTTTTGCCGCACACATTGTGCTCCAGGAAAACCGTTCATAAAACCTAAAATAATATTTTGACCACTGAGCCAGCAGTTATCTTGATTGGAGATACAAATCGCAGTCATGTATACCCATTTCAGCACCACTTCAACATCCTGAGGCAAACCAGCATTGCAGCTTATAGCCTGATGTGTGGATTCTGTGTTCTGGTTGGAGCGTGGTCAAAGCCTTTCCCTAGCTTCTCAGTGATGGCTGTGGAGGCCGTATTTCCTCATCCTCGACAGCCTTATTTTGGTTATAGTGACAGAATTTCCCCAACCTACCAAACTGCCGCTGAAATGTTTTCTGACCGATATAGAACGAGCGGACTGCATAAATCCCCCAGGGTGAAATTCCTCTGAACTTCTGGCTGTTGCGAAATTATTCCGGATGGAATGTGATTCGGACCTGCAAAGTATTACTATGAGACCAGATGCGATCATACTTGAAAGTCGAAAAAATGGCATAGTAGGCGAGCTTCATTTTGTTCCACCACTATCCCGATAGAGTGATCGAATGAACTTGCTCACTATTGAAGAACTCTTATATACGCCCAGAAAAAGATGGTAAATCATGAAGGAAAGACGCTCAAACTTGGACGAGCTAGCTAAAGCCAGCGGCTTAAATTAATAGCTCCCCCCTAAGCAGCTAACCATTCCGGTTCAAATATAGAGAATATTCTAAGCCTGGAAGTATACTATCACCACAGTCACATTAGAAATGAGTAGCAATAGGTACACAAGAACATCCTGAAATTTTATTATTCTTATGAGTGGTATTTTGTTTTAATGCGTGCATCATTCAGTTGCTGTGATACCCCTCTTCAAGATGCACCTGGTAAAAAGTTGAGCAAATGTTTTCAACACCAGCCATTTGCTCTATGGACTACAACTTAACACGCTGGCGGCCAATGTCACCGTTTGTTATGGATCAGTGTCGAAGCTCAGCTGCAAAATTCGATTTTCCGAGTAACTGCTCACGCTTATCAGAAGGATTTGACTCGAATAAGTCTTCAATCCACCTTGCATTCTCTGGTACCAATACAATCCACATGTGCATCCATAATACACGATTGGGGTGCATTAGTCCCAGTGGAGATCTAAAGGATGTCAGCTAAATTTTGTTAGTTTTTGCAGCGATGCGAAGTGATCATTAAATTTGATGCGTTATGGAGATCCATGATGCGAAAGATTCACAGGTTTGCCACACAAACGTCCTGAGTCCCCTAAAAACTAGATACCATCATGGTTGGTTGTCTGAGCTATTTACGACGGAACAACATAAAGAAAAAAGTGCGGCTGGCGTAATTATTGAACACCCTTTTGCAGCAAACCGAATTTCGCTCGTCTGTTTTATCTCAGACCATTCTCATCAGTATTAACCTAGACATTTGTCTAGGTCGCCCAATGACAGAAGCCGGTGAAGTCAAAACAAAAGTAACCGAGTTTCGTAATCTTACAGACTATCTGTAAGAAGTCGGCGTCTCAAAACAACAACAAGTTCTGTATTATCAGCAGACCTGGCTTTATATCAAAGTAAATCTTCCTGGCGACCAGCACCTTTCATTGATACTGATATGTGATAAGGATTCCCAGCAAAACTGAAGCTGCTGCATATGGCTTGTGATAGCTTTACCGGTGAAGCTGTGGGACATGAAGTCGTGTTATTTCTATTAGACCACCGGATGGCTGATTCGATTACTTTTGGCTAACATGTTGTTAAACAAGTGCGTTGAACGGAGGATTCAGTAATCGCGATTTTCCATTCTGCTCATTAATTGCGAACTGCACTTGATTCAAGACGTCTGGTCATGAACATATCCCATTTAATGGCTGGTTTTAAAAGTGAATGCTTGGATAAATAACTACTCAAACGCAGTATGAAATCGAAATTCACCCCTTCCCTGTATCAGTTCAGAACTTGCTGGCCTTTCGGGGTAAATGATTGTCTTAAGCATATGTTACTTATATAGTCCAAGTAGTGCGTTTTAAGCAAAAGTGATCGGGTTTACTTGTCATAGTACGACAGAGTGCAACAATTCCAGAGCATCCTTTGGGTCAACTTGCTATCCGACATGATTTAACTGTCAGTCAGACGTGACATCATGCTCAGCAGTAGCCCGTGCGCATGCTGCACCAGTTTTGGAAGTTTAGTGGGTTTCAACAGCTATGGACGTATGTAGGCGGCTCGAGTCGCCGCAGCTTATGGTAGTGGATACTGTAGGTTGGAAAGTGTACAGAAAAACAGATAAAAAACGAAAGGATATCGGGCTAGTGACTATGAAATCTAAATCGATATTCAAACGATGCTTGTGCAATGCACACGATCAGCCTTCATTCATCTACGGTGAACAGTGAATAGAGTCCACAACCGTAAACCAAGAGAGGCGTTGTAGACCCAGCATCATACTGATCACAGTGATACCCCATTTGAAGGATAGCGGGGTTAAAAATACATCGCGAGCGTTCTTTCTACGGTTAATTCGGCTACGAATTTGAGAGGAAAAGTGATAAAGGTCAGTCGTGGTGATGAACCTAGTAGGATGCCCTCCAGAGATACGCCGATGAATGTGGGTGAATGTATTGGAGAAGTGAGGTGAGGATTTTCGACACATCTTCGAAGCAGCGAAATCGTCAGAAAGCGGCGCGATCGACTGGGTTGAGTGCCACTTTTCGACATGAGAAGGAAATAGTTGTTGGCCTCCTATATGTGTGATGTTCAAAAATTTGTCGTGGGACAGAGGTGTGGTCAATGAATACACAAACCAAACGGAGCCCTGCTTGGTCTTCACGACCCCACCTCTCACCAATAATGGTAAGTTTGCGTTGGGTGATACTAGCGACAAACGTAGAACATAATGAGTAAACGGATATCTCGACGATTCTCATTGTTGTGTCACGGCACATCCCTTGCCCTCCGCCAGCCCTGAACTAATTGTTAGACCATGAACGAGTCCCTTTCCTCCATTCTTAAAAAAGGCAGGGAAAAACGGTCAGGGCTGAGTGGCTTTCTCTTCTCAGAAGGTCGACTTTTAAACGCACAGTGAGGTTGTTGGTTCGTTGACCGTTATGCTAAGCAACCTGAACCAAACAAATTGCTCTTCGGGATGTTTAGACTACCAAAGCCGGCGGTCAGACTTCGAACAAACTTCTGGGCGCCATTTTATGTAATGACTCCACTGATTTAGGTTTTCTCGACCTGATGTTACGAATAGGTTGGAAAAGAGCTTGGCTATTTCCAGTAGCGCCTGCCTTCTCCATTTCTTTGGCTCTTCTTATCTACCGCCTCTGTTGGTCAGTCTTGAGAGTGCAGGTCAGCCTTCGTTTCGGAGATCTCACTGAATCTTACTGCCGATCAGAAACACGGATCACTATAAGATCCACTTCGAATCAAGCCGTCACCTGATTTTGGGAGGCGACGAAACACTAAACTCATCCGGCACCGACAAATTTATTTGGCGTTATTATGCTCTCTTGGCAGTTCTTCTCGTATAATTCTTTGATGACCGAATCTTTCAAGCAGTAAATATCGTAACGGTGCACACCCTTTTGCTTGAGCTGCAACTTGGGAAACAACTAGGGCATGTTATGACTCCACATACGTATTCCGAAAAGAGCGATAGTCTTGCACAACAACCACTTGCTACGTGGCCAGTCTGAACCATCGATTGGTTACGCTTGGGCTAGGGTCAAGTAACACGTGACTGTCTCAAGCACATTAGTTTTTCGATAAGAAATGGTGTTAGTGAGAGAAGTCTACGGTGCTACAAAAATCCATACTGGTATGGATTGGAGCTGATGAACCGAATGGACTGCACTGAATGATAGCCGGTGAACATGACGAGCAAGATGACCATGTGGTTTTTAAGACCGACCTTTTCTAACCCGTCTTCCCTCAGAGGACGACAGCATCACCAATTCCTTAAACAAGAAAATGTTGGTCATGCTGAGGGAGAAATCTTACAGCCTTCATGCTTCTACCGCAGAAGCAGCACGATTTCAACCCCAGAACGTCCCGTCAATACGCCTACTTGTAATATAGGGACACGTTGTCCTTTGTTTGGCTGCTATACTTGGGGCCCCCTCACACAGTTGCAACTTGAGGAACGAATATCTTACCAGCTTCATCGACGAGATCATTACAATCATCAAAGCCGACCACAGTGGTAGCTATTGGTCAATATTTATAATAAACAGCGCAAAAGATTTGTTATGTTTGATTTACCATCACACTAAGTGAATCATGAATAGTCTAGGAAGGCGTGCTTAGCGTATTACTTACAGGTGTTCATGGCCAAACATAGGCCTGTTCCGCCTAACCAACAAGAAGCGACAGACGGATATTTCCGGTTTATCGTTGAGATGAGATAAATATCTCCATTGAGATAAAGCACAAGGTCCGGTTCCGAACGAACAATGTAAAAGTTTGTCAGCAGCACCTGAATTCGGCAAACTAAGTGCGTTGGATCGCTACGGATTGTACCGTTCTTAACGATATCAGCTCTGGTTAGTCCCGTGAAGCTTCTTAAAATGTTGAGCTCCTCTCAAAACCAAGGCATTTGGATACCCTCTGTCATTAATTGAACGTCATTAGAAGGGATACACTGTTTCCCATTAGAAGCGTATTCCTTTCAAGAGGGATTCACAAAGAGAAACTTAATATTTTACCGGCGGAGAGACGAAAGCATCTGTCTATCTTGCGGAGTTCAAGCCATGTTGCGAATGTCACCTCAAAGACCCTCCTCCAGATAACCAGTTCACAACCGTCCAATCCGGCAGTTCAACTCACCGAAACTGAAAGCCGCATACGAAAACCCGTCTTTCTTATAATCGCCTTTGTATACTGATAATCATTCACAACGCACAGCGCCACAGCTGAGCAGCCATAGACTAAGGAGTAGTTGTGGAACAATAGTCACGATTAAGTGCAATGTAGATCAGAACGTGCACTGCAGTTGTTCGGGAGCTAGAATGCTCTGTCTTCCGTTACAAAGATTTCTAAATATCGTTCAATCGCCACAGAAAACCCTGTGGCGCTTTTTACGACCAATTCGCGCTGCGACACCTGCCACAGTTGCCTACGATTTCATAAACGAGATCAGCTGGGTTTCAGGTGAGTCCCTAGTGAAAACCAAATTGGTATACAAATGGGTGTATTCGTCCAATTTCCTGCAATCTGGGTTCAAGTGGAACACAAGGCTGACAGAAAATCGGGAACTGCGCCCAACTGACGAGCCACAAGAAGAGTGGAACAAGTCATGAACTGTCGAAGAGTTTTCAGCAACCTTGTGAATAGTTTCCTTCATGAAAATCATATACATTTTCAATAATGTGAGATCCATCCATCTTTTGTCAGTAACTACGAACCGGAACTCAATTCTCTGTTAACTCAAACATACAATGAGGCGTACACCAAACCGATCAATAAACGCGTCTCCACAGCTCCGACTTATTTTAGGCCATGTGAAGCACAGTACGTTGCCGCTACAATCTAGCAGATGCATCTGTCCATATAATGCATAGTCTTCGTGGAAGGTTGATATCGAAAAGCCAAGTGAAACAAACTATTACTCAGTACCATCACTCAACAAAGGAATATATTTGGCTTTGAACGAAAATCAGAATCTCCCCCAAAAAGTTATGTGCCATATTTAACAGCATGAATAATAGGTGAGCACTTCGCCAAACGGCACAGTTGAACCGAGAATCGTAGACGCGTGTGAAAAGAGACAACCACTGAGTTCAACATACTATGTCGGATGCATGGCAATACACTTACAGTAGCTTGCCCATATTTCTGTTATGTGCAGTTGATATTGTTACAGCTCAGTAGTGTCCCGCTTCTCAAGTATTGAAAGAAGACTTAGACGTTTTGATGTCCTTGGCCAATAAAATGGATATTAGACAAATCTACGGTCAATGAAGGTCGACGAATGGACGAGGTAATCAGTTACTCAACAGGCGCTCCACGTTTTATGATCGTTGCACATTCACCATGTACAAGACGGGAGACTCAAATTTAATACGTATGAGTACATAAGGATGGGGCAGGTCGCATGGTAGCTACCAGATGTGTATGGAACGGAACACTTTAAAACAAAGGGAATATATTTTAAACGTTTCTTTCACAGTTCAAGCAACCCATCTCGAAATCACTCATTGACGAAGTTTCGTGCACAGGGAGGATTTACACAGCAAGGCACCGGAAGACATAATGGTTAAAACCGTTCATCAGGACAGTTCCCCAGTTCGAATTGACCTCAGTGTTCTGGGCAAAGCAAAATCGCACAGCTGTACATGATGAAGCAGAACGGGAAAAGACAGTGAAAGAGTAGAAAAGAAAACGACTAGCCCTTTTCGGTCTTCGGTCGACCGGATTTTGCAGGGGCAGCTTTGATTCGTTTATCTCGTTTCTTCAGTCCATCAATGCTGGCTTTCAGTAAGTTGGAGTACGCCTGATTGAAGCGGTTCATGTCTTTCTGATGAACCTAAAAACCAAAAGCCGAATCATATGAGTAGCTCACTTTCTAGATAAACGAAAAACAAAGACAAAAACATTCGCCAGAATGGCTACCTGGAGAAGTTAATCGATAAGAGGTTAGCATCTCATCCTATTAGAGGACAGGTAACCAGATTGTTAACAGATATAACTGGTCTGTATTCATTTTCTGCGGTTCCACACTGCACAGGACCCTCTCTCTCCTAACCACTGTTTCCACATTAACTCATCTAATGCTAGCACGCCGAATTTTTAACTTATATGGAATACAGTCTGGCAGAAGTTAACGAATATTGTTGATGGGCTTATTGGTCCCCCGATGATAACGTATCTCAACTTTGAATGGTAGCTTCAAAGTCTCTCTTCAGTCTGACTCCACCGCCAATCTGCGCATTGTCGGAAATGTAAACGCACACAAAACCGATTAGCTTGCCCAACCAAGCGGAAAGTGAGCGGGTTTTTTTCCGCAATCGCCAAACCCTACCCCAGGTCATCTTTATAACTCGAATTGCAAACCGTGACGAGAATTCACGTCAAACCCCGAACTGTTCCTAGTTAACCACTCTGATTCGCACTCTACCAGCTACTCCAACCCAAATAGTTCCTCCGATGACTGGCAATTATTGGCATCCATTTAATTTCATTATTCCGGTCACCCATCCGCCTCCGCATATACACTAACGTTACGCTTCTCGTTGAATGTGACGGTAGCCGTCAGTCTTTTTCTCCCTATACCTGGACAGCTTTCAGTGCAAATGATGCTCCAACCTTCGCCGACAGTACTAATGATGCTTTCCACGATAGCCTGCTCACTTTATTCCAGACTTCTTTAAACCCAACCAGAGTGGTTTTAGTGTAGTATGCATGAAAGATCGATCGTACAAACGCTCGCGAATACAGCCCTCTCCAGACACTTTCTCAGGAACAGGATGGTTCAGTTGTTGGAGAGCGAATTTACTAACTGGCAAGTCCGCGGTTCAAACCCAGCATCTGCATTTCAACTTCTGCCCAGGCTTGGGCAACCTGGCAGTATACAAGCCCTCGTGCTTCCTTCGGGTGGCATTACAGCTAGGCACCGAAATGATGTTAAAGCTGATCATTCGTAAATCCAACTTTGCCACCATCGACAAAACCAACAAACCAACCAGCCTATCTGGTGCCCCGCTGAGAGTCGATCCTCCAGGAGATTTGCAAGAGCCATCAGCCGTAGTTTTGTTCAGCTAACCTTCCCAGATTCCTGATCCTCGAGAAATTATTAAATCCTTGCCACAGGAAATAGCTGAAATTTTTGCCAGCATTTTGCCTCCACTTGAATCGTATCGCACACTGAAGCAAGCAAGTCAATAGGTGGCTCTCACTCGTACGCTGGGTTCCCTCGGCATTGACGTATGTTGTCTGTCAGAAACAAGGACGCAGGACGCAAGTGCTGTGATCGAACTGACTGCCCTCTCGCTATCTTCCAGATTCTTGCTGCAGAGGCCTCCGGTGATGCAGCAGGCTACAAGCTCAGATATCGTTGTGGTTGTTAATTATATGAACGCCCAGGTAGGTAGAATAAGCACTGCTGAGGCCCGACTGGGTGGTCGTCTTGGTTTGGACACGAGATGCACGGACAACGGAGACCGCTTACTTCAGATATGTGCCAATCACAGACTGTTCCTTTGCAGTACGAATTTCCGGAACAGCGGAAACCGCTTGACAACGTGGTGCCCACCAATAAACCATCGCCGAATCCAAATAGACATCGCTGTCAGTTATCGGTGGCGAGGGTCGATCACCGAATGCCGCTCCTTCTGGAACACCAGCGTGGACTCCCAGGTGATAACCGGTTATCACCCAAGAGCTGCATGCCTATTAGCACCATTAGTACACAGCGCAGGACGACTAAACACATTCTATAACAAACCACTCAAAATCACCACATTCGCAACAGCATGATATTCTCATCGCAAAAAGAATACCTTCTAAACCGTTCCAGTGTGAAGAATCTATTGGTATTCATGGCCAAAGTGAAAAAATCTGAATACGAAGGACTTATATCGAACGGTATCTCTTCCGGCTTTTCAGAAACATTCAATAAAGTTCCACACATTCTAAAGTTTCATAAAGTTGGGGACGACGAAATTCTAGTGGAAACACTACGCCGGGTAAAAGCTCTCCTTTCTAGTACAAAAATCAGAATAAAGGTCTCAACAGCTTACGCGCTCTCTAGTTGAAGATCTCCGAAGCACCGTCCAAGGACCTTTTTCTGGCACTGCGTCAAGCACATATCTGCTTCCTTCAGCTCGAGAAGCTTATCATTCTGTGCATCTGAACCATGCATCTATGCATTCTGAACCATAGCCAAAATCCTCTCCCGGCTGGATCATTTTATTTGCTGCATACAATAGGATGGGTAATCAAAAACATGCCAGTGCTGACGCCTATTCTCTTCCATTTTCTCGTAGTGTTCCCCTACTCACAACGCATTGCAAATATTCTGCAAATCTGCACTACAACCGAAAGCTTTGTTGGCTTTGAATCACACGGCGGCGACTGCTACGTGTCTGTCTTCTGTACCAACCCCAAACACCTCGGAATGAATTTCAAACCTCAAAAACCGGACGACGTAACCTCCCCAAATGCCTGCACTCTAAAACAAACAGGACAAGCTCACATGCTGGATTTCATTCGCATCGATGCACGTTGTCGTTTAGAAACAAATGCTGTAAGAAAACCTATGTTTACGCCGTTCTTATTCAGCTTATAGCTGTGCAAACCTCTTGACGCTGACGGCAGTTCAGCTGGACACACCGGAACGGCTATTGTGCTGGGCCATCCAGCCAAAGCGTCTCTACTTGACTGTATATCCACTGAAAGTCGCCTCGGCGAGGTTCGTTTGATAACGACCATGGAAGAACCTCGAAAGAGGTCTCTCGCTTTCTACTTGCTGTGACTGCCTACATTTTTTAACAGCGGCACTGAAACATGAACGCGAACGAGGCTCAACTGAGTGGTCACCTTGAATTACACAAGAAACTCACTCACAACGAAGAGTGCCTACGAGAGACATGTATTGACCACAATGTACGAATCTGCAAGGCTCGGGTAGCGTTTGCCAATTTCAGGCACCTACGGCGTCAAAATGGCCTATCCCTGAATCTCAAGGGACGTGTGTATCAAGCTACAGTGCAGGCTGTTTTCTTGTATGGCTATGAGACTTGGCCCGTTCGACCTGCGGAACTGAGACATCTTCTAGTGTTCGACAATCGTTGTCTCAGAACCATAGCTCGTGTGGGTTAATCTCGGCGTATCCGTAACCAGGCAATTAGGAAGCGACTTTTCGATTGTGCAACGGGTACGTCCATTGAAAAAATGCGTCCAGTGCCAGGAGCTGCATTGGTTTGAACATATGTATCCATTGAAAAAATGCGTCCAGCGCCAGGAGCTGCATTGGTTTGAACATATGTTGTGCATGCCTAACCATCGTTTGCCAAAGAGAGTGCTGTTTTGCATGCCCAACTCAGAGTGGAGGAAGCAGAGAGCTGACCAACCCTTGATATGGCAGAGGGGTATGAAGGAATTCACGAAACGTTTGGATACTGTCGGTGCTAGTCGCCTTCCAGGATGGGGACCGCGTGATCCTCACTGCTCCTGGTTGGAGACGCTGCAAGGTATGGCTACCAACCGATGGCGAGGTATGCCGGACAGCATCGTCACTCGTATGCTCCAACACCAGCGAGCACGTGAGTCTCTTGGGTTCATTATCAAAAGTGGTGTCCACCCTTTATCACCTGTCTTGTTCGACTTTGCATTCGAATTGGTTATCGCAGAAATGTTCGGTAAGGATTTTTTCCTGGGGAAGACCTTGAGGACGCTGAGTAGTTCGACAACATTGCATTTTTCGGTTCAGAGCGCGTCCAGATACGATATACACTAAGTAATCTAAGTAATGTTATTAGACACTTTGGTATGTTCACTACGCCTTTAAAGTGCAGTCCTACTACACGACTAGCTTGGCGGACTACCAAAGCTGGCCATGACATTTAAACCACTGAAGATAATGGAGAGGATTACCTAGCTCGGTAGTTGCAACATGATGGATGGCAGCGATGCCGACAAAGCGAATGCTAAACTCCGTGCTGTTTTCCTTCAACTTAGGCACCTCTGTCTGCCTGTCCGCGAAAGAGAGGACCTACGATACAACAGCGTGTCACCTGCTGCATAGCGGCTGTGAAGCCTGACCATTGTTTATGCAGATTGCTTCGTGAGGGAAATGCCGAAGTGCGACGAAGGGTTTTTCCAAAGGCCAACCGTCTGTCCCAGCGACCAGCTGATTCGGCTGCACATGGTCGGCTCGGCCATGTGCTCCGTAAGTTAGGTTATCTTGCCCCGCCGTGTCCTGCTTGCTGAGACAGATTTGAACTGGAACGTGGACAGCTCACGCCCGGCAGGAACACGGAAAACATAATGGACCCTGGATAACCTGATCCAATCGCCCGCCGGGTTGGGCTAGCATCGTCCCTTAGCATCAACGTTTGGATGAACTCAACGAAATGAAGATGTCGTGCAACCAGTAGCGGCGTTGTATTTAGTCTCTCTATCCTTATCATTAACCCGCTGTTTTTTTTAATGTTTTCCCAGTAAAATAAATAGAAGTTCAGCCGCGATGCCTTTTTGGTGCCTAGCTGCCATGGCACACGAGGGAAGTACAAGGGGTGAGATACTGCCAGGTTGCTCAAGCCTAGACAAAAGCAGTCGAGGTTCGAACCACGAACCCTCTAGTCAGAAACGTGGTGACTCTGGGACTCACATCTCAAAGGCGCTTGAGTGTATGCCTCTACTCAAGTGTCACTGTGGTCCCAGTCCCGATGGTCTTCTATCCGCTCATTACAAGACCAGCCGTTAAGTCACTAAACAGTGCCTAGCCGAACTATTTACGCCAACCTAAGAGGAACAGATAGTCTCAGACGACTTGAGTCAGTCGATAACGCGTCCTATCCTCAAAGAGAGTGCAGTGAATGTGGCACCCTTAGTTGGGTTCCTACTGTAACAAGCCCTCTGGTGTTATTGCTTGCTCATGGTCCTAAGGGGCCATGCGGAACCCTGGAGCGCCAGCATCAAACAAAAGTTCCAACAGATAATGGCGACTTATTCGTCCAGATACAGTACCCTTTCAGTGCCTAACTACCATGCCACCCGAAGGAAGCACGAGGGCTGGGATACTGCCAGGTACTGCCAGGATACTGCCAGGCAGAGGTTGAGTTCGAACAACGGACCTTCCGGTCAGTAAATCCGCGCTCTAACCACTGAGCCATCTCGCCCCAAAAAATGAGCCGTCTCACCCCTTCGCAATCCACCAGGTGTTGAAGCGACATTGAGTGAAGAAACAACTAATTAATTGGACATTCAATGAACTTGGTAGGGCATTTGATTTCATATCCTTCGCAATCCACTAGGTGTTGAAGCGGCATTGAGTGAAGAAACAACTAGCTAATTGGACATTCCATGAACTTGGTAGGGCATTTGATTTCATATTACCGGTGTTCCCAGCCACACTTGCTCAGTAGATGATGCAGCGAAAGTCCGTGAATATAGACCGAACCCCATATTCACATACATCTGAGTGTCTCAACTTATGAGGAATACTTAAAAAACGTCGCTACAAGAGATGCAAATTAAAGTCCCCTACTCTCCATTTTTGTTCAACTCCAAGATTGACAAGTGAACGCTAAAGGATCCCCAGAACCCGTGTTCAGAGACTGCGCAGACAGTATCAATCCGACATCTGAAGGTGAACATACAGCATAGGCGACGTTAGATAAACTAATTGCCAGCTTACTACTTTTCGGCATTTACAGAGTGTAAAGCCATGCTCTAGTGTGAATACCTTTTGCGATTCAAGGTGTAGATGATTTTACGTACCTCGAATGTTGTATCAATTTTCATAGAAGTGTGTCTGATGACGCCCGAACGAAGGATCGATTCACGTTTGCCAGATTGCGTCACTCGTGATGTCACGTGTACTGTACTATGGTACCCGCTATGTTGGTTGCTAGACAGTTCCTGTGGATATATGATCAAAGGCGTTTTCAGGCTGGTAGCAACCGATGTCTCAGAAAGGTAGCCATCATCGGATGGAGTTGATGAATTCGTAAACAGCATCGATGTCGAGTCTGTTGCTGCCTCTGATGATGACGGTGACTGAGCGACTGGACGAAAATAGCATCCAGAGCTCCTATTCTTGCTGGCACTAGCCCAAGTCACACATAAGCACGAGCTGAAAGTACAGTGGATTGACAGATCAATCCATGTCTATTAAAATTTGAGACGTATGGTGGGGGCTGAAAAAACCCCAAAGCAGGTAGTTCATGGTTGATGCTAGAAAGCTGCTACACCGAAGCGAAGCAAGTAAACTGATCACGGTGAGGAGACGAACACAGGAACTAGGAATTAAGGCCAAATGCTTACAACGGTCGATATCTTCCGATTTCCGAGAGTTACACGCAGCAAACAAGAGTTTTCCTGTGATGTGTGTGGTTCTGTTGCCTGTTTTTCTTTTCTTGGAATGGGTTTGGTACGACCATCATCTATTCAGAGAGAAATCGTCAATCACATACGAAGCTTTAGTTACAGCGTTTCATTGTGATAAACACAGAACCTCCATTCTTAGATTGTGTGAAGAATTTGTTGAGATTTGTCAAGAACTATAAAAGGAACGGTTGGATAATAGTAGGCGTACTGTGTCATTATCAAGGAGCATGGCGCACGTCAGAAACCAGGCAGAGATAGCCGACGCACACCCTAATCGCCAGCCACCGTGGCAAGTGTCCGCTGCGTTGTGATTGGCCATTAGTCGCCCCACTGTCATCCGTGGGGGGCTAGGTTGAGTAGCCATTTACCAACGCAAATTCAAAGCATTAATCTTCAGCTTATAACATTCGTTCTTATAATATCCTTAGAAATGATAAATTCGAAAGACGACCTTACCGAATTTTATGAGCTCCCGCGGTTTGGCGAGCGACGCTAGCACAATCGCGAAGACTTGAAAGAATAGTAAACTGGAAGGAAAAATGACTGCAACCAAGCACAAAATTAGACATCATAGAATGTAAAGCAAGGGACCGCATAGATGGCCCGACGGTCGAAGACGCAAAAGATATGAGCTAGACTTCAAAGAAATGCCGAGGTAGACGACGAGCGTCGTTCATTGTCGAATTTAGAATATGGTAAGAACAGATCAGGCGGGGAGAAAAAAGTGCAAAATTATCCATGGTCGTCCGGAAGAGTCTGTATCTTGACGGAACACTAGTAAACTTGTTGTTCAAGAGATTACCGAAAGGTGCTGCCAAGCATGTAGTGTCTGTAATCCGTTGTCACATTTACCATTCTTCCTGAACTTGAACCCCACTTAGTAACTGCCGTTCACATTGTATCATGACGTTTGTTTTAATGTTACGAATACACAATTTTCCGGCGCGACCTGCTGACTTCTTGCTG